AGGGGAGTTGGATGGGGGATGGGGCCAGGCCAGGCCATGCCTGGCTGTTTGGGGAGGTACAGCCTCCCCTAACCGGCCCTCCATACAATTTCCAAAACCCGATGTGGCCCTCAGGCCAAAAAGTTTGCCCACCCCTGGACTAGATGATCACAAAGAGTAGCAAAAGAAATTATAAAACCATGTGAAAGGTGAAGGGACTTATGATTTACTGAAGCACTTTTTGAGAACTGTATTGCCCAAATGACTTCATGGATTGGTAGACCCTTCTGCTTCTAGGTTACCAGATGGAATATGGCTCAGCTTGGTAATGACCAAAGGTTATCAGCAGGCCAGCTGAAATGAGCTGGTGGTCTCAATCTAGTTCCACAGGGAGCAGATGTTCATATCACCACTACTGGCTTCCTTGTTAATAGTATCAGTAGAAAGGGACTAATGACTGAATGGCAACAGAGACTATACTACCCCCTCATCTATAACAATACAATATAACGGCCTGGAATACAAACAAGAATATGTTCTTGCCTGAGGCTTACAGGGGTTCTCATTTCTTATATATATATATATAAAAATCATTATTGCAGGGTTCATATGGAGTCAAATAATAGGACAAAAACTTAAATCCAACACGTAACTCAACCCTTAGCAATAAAGCACATTAAGAAAAATCCTACTTTCCTTTACCCCAAAATAACTTATTTCAAGTATCCACTGAGGTAACCCCAAAAGCATGAGCAAAAAAGTAGGCTTTGCAGCCTTTCCTGAAGGTCAACAAATCCTTTGTGTGAGTGGGTCACAAAACATCCACAAACAGCCTCTATGGGAGTTTTTCCTATATTCTGACAGGACGTCCAGAAGCCTGTTCTGAAATATTATTGGGATTGTTGTAAAACTTCAGAGAAATGTCAAGGTTAGTCAGAGTTTGGGAGGAAGATTTAGGGCTGAGATTTGCACAGGAGCCAAAGGGAGGTAGGGACTCAACGTACAATGTATTTCAATGCAAGCTGGACTCTAACTCTGCTACCCTCTCTGCATTGGATCATCTTTTAATATCTAAATTGGCGTGTTCGTTCCCAAGCATTTTTCTAACCCTCTAAGTTCCAGAAGTAGTTATGTCATAGGGTCCCAATTCTCTAGCGTGCAGAGTACCCTCAACTTCCAAGTCAATGAGAATGGAAGGCATTCAGCACCTTATAGGACGAGACCATGCTGCACAATTCAGTCATTTCCATAGCAACAGACTGATGTCACAAATGCAGGCTTATGACTGTGGTGGGATTGAGGTGAGGAAGCAGAATGGAAAACCCTTAAAAAGGGATGGGAATGAACATAGGAAGAGCTTACCAGCTCAATAAACTGCTCTTTGTAATAATGTTTTCTCCTTTCATGTGTGAAAGACCTTTTTTAAAAATCACTTTCAAGTCAAGGGCAGGAGAGACTAATACTCATACACAGCTCGATTTCTCTTTAATTGGATACATTATTTCCCTTTCCAATCATACATTTTAAAAAAATAAACATTGTTTATATTCAAATCAGGCCATTTCCTGTTCTCGCTTGTCTCCCCCTTTCAGCCCAGCACCTGTGTTTGTAGTGGTACAATTATTTCCATAGTGACAGACTTGTGATCTTAGATGTGTTGTGTACAGGGCTGAGTTACAAACTGGATGATCAAGAAGCTGAGCAGATGGGTTTCTCTAGGGATAAAGTGCTGGGTTACTGACAATGAGCAAGGAAAAGGGGGAAAAGTTGCTTTTCCACCCGCTCCCTTCTTACCCTCCAAAGATTTTGTCTCCAATTTTCCTCCCCTCCCCTAAGGGTCCCTTGCAAGGAACATAACTGATATAGTCACTGAAAATAATAGAATTGATAGCCCAGACTCAACACTATAAATTTAGCTATTACGTTCCTGATGGGAAAATGAAGAATGAAATGAATTGAGACAGAATATTTGTCTTAATAATTGTCTCTTTTCTATGGTGTATGTGTTAATACATCTGTGTTTAAATCCATGCAACCTATATATAAAAAACTGGATACACACATATATAATTAGCCATTCATAAGTGTGTATACATGCTCATAACTAGTAACAGTTTTCTAAATAAACACTCCGGTGTGTGCACACACCAAGAAACCAGCTAAAATAACCAAAAAACAAATTACAATAGAAATACAGTTGCTGTGCTCGAGCTGCTTGGTGGGGGGTGGCTGTACCCTATCAGAACTGGTATATGTAGATAACTAATGGTTCCACATCACAAAAAAACAAAAGGCATTTTTCTTGGCCCTTCGTCATCTTTTGGGTTTATTTTATTTTTCCTCAGGAAAGTAAAAGACGAGCCAGCAGTTCACTGGTCTAAGCTATGGCCCTGAGGCTGTGATAAGAACTCTACTCATAATTCTAACTGACCACTCCCCCCAAGTCCCTCTTCCCCCCCATACACCGTCCCTCCCTTGTTGGGTTGGTGCAGAGTCATCTTCTTCATCCCACCCTGAAAGCATCACCCGAAAAAGTGTGTGTGTCCAGGATATGATCGTTTGTCATTTAGATAGAGTATATGATATGAACCATGGCAAACACTGTAATGACTAATTTCAAACATTTATTACAACACTTGAGAGACTTGAAAGCTGTCCCTGCGCTTGATTTTAATAAATGCAGTCTTGAAGCAGCCGCTTATCAAAGTGACACAAATTGTGTGGTAAATAGATTATGGCACAGCTGAAATACTGGAAAACGAGATCAAAAATGCTCCTACTTTCCCATTTAGAACACCGTAAGATACTCCAACCTGAGTGGATGCTGGAACACTAGCATGGGCAGATCCTCTGGAAATGAGAAGAGGCCAAACCGCTGGCAAATTAACACTGAACCCATTTGACTGTAAATCATTTACTCATTGGTGTGTGAACATTTTCTTATGCGTTAGCCCTAGAATGTACAAACCATAACCAGCTGGGAAAAACCACAAAGACCTGGTCCACACTTAAAACTTTGGTCAACCTAGCTAGGTCACTCAGGGGTGTGAAAAATTCACACCCCTGAGAGACATAGTTAAGCCAATATAAGCCCTGGTGTAGACAGTGCTAGGTGAATGGAAGAATTTTTCTGTTGACTTAGCTACCACTTCTCAAAGGGGTGGATTTATGACAGTGACAAAAAAGTAGCAAGTACATACACTACAGTGGGGTAGCGGCAGCGCTGTTGCTGTGTTGCTGTAGCACTTGTAATGTAGGCTTACCTGAAGAGGGACCTTGGTTCGCTTTCAGTGCCAAACCCAGAAATCAGACTACCCACCTGAACAGGTGGGGCCTATCACATTAACGACGGATCTTTCAAAGGTGCCAAGAGCTCACAGACTCCATTGGCTTTCATGGGAGGCGCGAGCCCTAACACTGGTGAAAAAAAATCAAGCCCTAAGGGCTTGTCTACACGGAGACAAACAGGGTATGTCTACACTGCAGCTGGGAGTGAGCTTTCCCACCTGTGGTCGTTACAGCTCAGGCAGTGATTCAGGCTAGCCACCTGAGCTCAGATCCAGGGAGTCAGGTGGCCCAAGCTGCTGCCCGAACAGCAACATCCACACTGCTATTATTAGTGCACTAGCACAAGCCTCGCTAGCGTGAGTCTGTCTACCCAGGCTGGGAGACTCACTTCCAGCTGCAGTGCGGACATATCCAACAGAGACTTCGGATACATCTACATGTTTAGCGGGGGGTGTACTTCCCAGCTCAAGGAGACATATCAGCACTAGCTCTGATTGAGCTAGCATGCTAAAAACAGCATAGCCATGACAGCGTGAGCCACATGAGGGCCTAGCTGCCCCGAGTACCTGCCTAAAGTCTTGGCCCAGGTCGAAATGTAGCCATACCCTTAGCGCGCAGCACGCTGGGATGTAAATCTACAGCACGCTAGCTTGCCAGACACTAACTGGCCGTGTGGATCCTGAGTCCTTAGCGTGTTTTGACCTACAGAATTGTAGTGTGTGGTAGCAGGATCCACATGGCCTGTTGGTGCTTGCAGGGCCGGCTCCAGGCACCAGCTTACCAAGCAGGTGCTTGGGGCGGCCACTTCGGAGAGGGGCGGCATGTCCAGCTGTTCGGCGGTAAGTCCCTCACTCCTGCTCGGAGCGAAGGACCTTCCACTGAATTGCCACCGCAGATCGCGATCGCGGCTTTTTTGTGTTTTTGTTTGGCTGCTTGCGGCGGCCGAATTCCTAGAGCCGACCCTGGGTGCTTGACAAGCTAGGAAGCTGCACCTGCCACATGTTAAGTCTTCGTGTAGACAAGCCCTGATATTTTTAACAACAGCCACTGATTTCACTAGTCCAGCTTGGGCCTGATTTCCCGGAGGTGCAGAGCACCCACAGGTCCAATCAAAGTAAATGAAGCCACTGCTGCTTAGCACCTCTGTGGGAAAAAAATACCCCAACTCAGAGGCCACTTCTGAAATTGTTGCCCAAGAGGGTTTTTCCACTTGCAGAACTAGAAAGACTACAACTACCGTCATGGACAGCATGGCATAACACTGGCATTTTACTGGCCACTGAGTGAATTTATTTCAGATCATTTATAGGCTTTTGCCTTTTACTAATAATAAGTAAAACAAACAGATTTCACAGCTGGGTGTCTGGCTTTTATTTGCTCTCATTCCTCTCTTCTTGGTTCACTTTCTGTTACAATTCTTTCTTTATGTGCATCTATTACAGCTACCCGCATGATTCACGTCTCTCTGGCTCCTTGCTCTCTTCCTTGTGTTTTATTTCATTCTGCTCTTTATGTTGCATGGATTGCTTTCCCTCTTCCCGTCCTGGCCTAATTCTCCCTCTTCTTGACTATCTTCTAGTTTTGCTTCCTTTTTTCGGCTTCTTTTCCTCTCCAATTCTCTGTCCTCTTCTGATTTTTTCACCCTCATTTCTTGTCTTACTCCATTTCTTCCCCCGTTTCCAGCTTTAGGCTGTTCCTCAGGACTGAGGTCAGGGTATTTTAGTCAGTTCAAATTTTTTCACTGAAAAATGTTTTGGTGGAAAATGGCTTTTTAACTAAAATGAAAATTTTCTGCAAAAAAAAATAATTTTGGTTAAAAAATTCTGTTTTTTTCCAACAAAAAAATGAAAACAGAAAATTTTGCAAATAAAATTTTTTTTTGGTAAAAAGAATTAGGTTTTGGTTTTCAAAAACCACATTTTTTAAGATTGAAAAATCATTTTTTTAAAGAAAATCTGTTTTAAAGACTGAAGATGTTCTGGGGTTTTGTTTTATAACAAATGAAAACATTTTACATGAGTTCTGATTTTTTTTAATATTCAGTGAAAAATAATTGGTATTTTTCAACTGGCTGCACTAGGCGTTTTGACCAATATCTTTAAAATGGGCCCCAGTTATTTGAAAGAACTGCAGACTAGAGATGGGAGAACCAGTTTGGAATAAATAGGAATTCCTCCTCCTCAAAACTTCACCCCCTTCCAGGACCAAACTCTCCCCTAGCTGTTTTGAAGATTCAGAGAACATTTTCCCCCTTCCATTCCTGACTGGGAGCGTGGCTGGAAGTGACAGAAAAAAATCTGCTGTTGCAAGATTTCCAGCCCAATATTGCAAACCCAAGGGGCCAGATTCTCTCTAGAGTTACGCATGTGCGAGCCCACAGAAGCTACCAGGCCAAGTTCAACACCCACTGAAGTGAATGATGTCAGGCTCAATAAGAAAGGTCTGGTCTACACTTAAACCTTAAGTCCACATAGCTATGGTGCTCAGGGGTTTGAAAAATCCACACCCTTCAGCCCCGTAGCTAAGCCAATTTAACCCCTCACGCAGATGCAGCTAAGCTGAAGAAAGAGTGCTTTTGTTGACCTCACCACCATTGCTCAGGGAGGTGGTTTTCCTACAGCGATGGAAATGCCATTTGTCCCTGTAGGCTGTGTCTACATTATGAGCTGATGCCAGCGCAGCTACAGTGCTGTTGCTATGCGGCTATATGCCTCGTAGTGTAGACATGGCCAAAGATCAGCACCACATTTTATTGGGGGAGGGGTAGTATTTGAAGTGAAACTGAATGGCAAGGATCCCTTTGAGAGTCACCCATCGCTATGCAGCTTCCTTTATACTGTTAAAAAATGCATGCGTGCACTAATTTTAATAGAAGATCTTTGGCTAAATCCCCTGCACTGCTTCTTTGCCTTTTGATAGTTCATTCATCTGAAAAGGATACAGCCCAGGAATTAGGCTGCAAGTTTTGAATATGCAAAGCGGAATAGTCACCATCAGATATTCTTTCACTTTATTCAAATAATTGAAATGCTTGATATGGTTTTTACAAATCCTGGGAAATGTGTTTACAGAATCATCCACTAAAAAGAATTGGATTCCCACATCACAGCTTAGGGGATTTTCAGGGGTTTCTATAAAATACTGCAACTGCATCAGCAGAAAGCCACTTTAATAAGTAGATATACTGCAATTTCATATTAGAATACTCAATTAAAACCAGAAGAGAAAACAGACGCGACCTCAATCCCCCCTCCAGGATAAACTCCACACACCTGGGGAGAACACATTCCTCACCCACCTTGTAAAATTTCCCTCATTTCCCTTTTGTCCTTGCTGAGAGGCAACTTCCTCACCCGGCCACTGGAAGAATCTTGCAGTTTCACACGAATGAGTACAGGAGAGGGGGAGAGAAAGGAAAGGGGATGAAAGCTCTGAATCTCCATCAGTATAACATTCCCTTCAATACATCTGCTAGCCACTGTCATCCTCATTTCTACTGAATGCAGAGGGGGCTTAGACCCTGGTTTTCCTGGATCCCGAATGCCCAATGTTACTAATATTTTAGCGTGTTCTCTTTCCAGGAGAGAAAAAAAAAATGAATCCAACTGGCAAGCCTTGAAGGCTGATGGATGCCTGTGGCACACAAAGAACCCCACCCCATGCATTTTCTCTGGTTTCCTTGCATTGCAATAGAAAAGCAAAGGGCAAGGACTGGGTTGGAGACGTGCTAGCTACCAGACTATAGAATATGTGTCACCAACTTTACCTCTTTATTGTAAGTAAAAGGAGCGATACAAAAGAGTGGGCAGCCAGCAGCACCCAGTAGCTAATCAAGACATCACACAGGGCTCTCGGGGACTGAAGTGGCTTTGAGACCCTGATTCATGCACCCAGTCACACAAGTCCAAATGAGACATTCCAGTAGCCAGACTCACACAGCCAGACACTCAGATAGCAGCAGAAAAAATGCATCTGAAGTGAAGGGGCCTGCTCCTATTCCCACTATAGTGGCTGGCAAAACTGTCCCATTGATTTCAGTGGGAGCAGGATTAAGCCCCTATAGAAGGAATAGCTACATGCAGAATGTGCTGCTCTACTGCCTTTGCCAACATGCTCCTCTAGACCCATTTCAGCTGCTCTGTCTACAGGAAGTTAATTCACCAAAATAATTAGCATAATATTTAGTGCTCTGTGGAAACGCCAAGCTGTGCATATGCTTAGAGCGAGCATCTGCAGAGACTTATGGTTGGAAGCTGTAGCCTGCCCCCTCCCACTGAGTGTCATCCTCACTCATGGCCTCACATTCAGTACTAGAGTGGAAGCTCTCTGGGGCAAGAGCTTATTTTCGTTTGTGTTATAAAGCATCCCACATGCCATTTTTAATTGTTAATAATGACAACTAGTCAGGAGTCCGAGCTGCGATGTTTGAATCTGGACCCAAACAACCCCAGAGTTTGGAGATTTGGATTTGGGCCCTTTTCTAACTCAGAGCTTTAAAACTTTTACTTTTTACTCTAAAACTGGTGTTTCCTAAATGTAGTCTATAAGCAGGATACTTTTTTGTAACACTGAGGCAACAATACTTACTGCATGATAGGATGGCTGCTTTCAGAAGCAAGTATAACTCATGATAAGATTTTTCATCTACAAATCACAAACTGCTGTAGAAAACTGGGTAAATATTATCCTTGTTATATAGAGGAAACTGAGGCACATAGCGGTGCAGTGACATAGAGGGGAGTCCTACAGCAGGTCAGTTGCCAAGGTGAGACTAGAATCCAGGCCTCTCATCTCTCAGTGCAATACACTCACAGTATCCTCCCAGTTTTATTGTTCCCAAATAGTAAATGGAGTCTCTGGATTTGACAAACCTTTCAAACTCCTGATGGGTTCCAAGATTTTTTTGGGACTATTCATCCACCTCTAATTCAAATTACCAGGCTATTTAGTAGCTATTATTTGATGCCATCGTGTTTCTGCAGAGGCGTGGCTCAAACCTTGCCCCTTGCCCAGTTCGCTATTGAGTGCAAGCAGCGACCCTGGCGGGAGGAACAGCACTTTGATGAGGAGAGAGACTCTCGCACAGAGTGGTAGCCATGACAACGTGTTTTTGCAGAGCAGGAGGCATATCTGCCAAGGCTCAGAGATTTGCCATTTGATCAGATGGATTTCCATCTTCTGGATGTGATCACATCACACAAAATCCAGGCCAAGCTGAGACCTTTACAAATTCTTCCCCTTTGTGGGGACAGGACTGAAACAGGAAGCTGTATCCCACACTGGGTACAAAGAGGTTAAATAGAATATAATTTGTGGGTGAAAAGATGATCTGTAAAAACTAAGGTCTGACTCCTTTTCTCATGTTGGGAGTGGGGAAATCCACAACTTCCTAGGAGGAGAGAGAAAAGGTCTCTAAATCCACTGCTGGGTCCCCCTCAAATGAACCTCTGGTCCTCTTTCCTGATCAGCTGGTAGATAGGCAGTTAGGTTTTTTTAAAAAAATACATGTGGACACTTTTGTTGTCTTTTCCTTAGAGATGGACGGATCGCCTGGAGCATCACCTGGCTCCTGAAACCCAGAGAGTTCACGGTGTTCGGATCAGGCCTAGGTCTAATTTTATTGATCATGAAAACAAGACTCTGAATAGATTAGCTGGACCTTGGGCAAAGTGCCGGCAGGGACTAGTCAAGCTTTCTGAATAGAGACCTTCCTAATATAGCTCAGTTATCACCTGCTGCATCCCCTGATATTCCAGTCCCGGGCTCCCACACAGCTCTGCCCATGCACCTCAGCCCTGACCAGCAGCAACCCCGGCTATTCACATTCATCCCTGGCATGGGTGGAGTGACTTGTTATCCGAATGTGGAGCTTGGGGATCAATGAAAAAGCAGAGCAGACAGGCTGCAGCGGAATATCCGTCTAGTCTACCTCAGCTGATAGGAAGGTAGCCATGACTTGGAGCCTGAAGCAGGAGGGGGAACAGGAAGAAAGAGACATGATGGACTAGATGACTTCAGGCCTTCTGCAGAACTGTGGCAAAGCCTGGAATGGAAAAATAATCACTCCCCACTATCTGATAGCGCTCTGTATCTGAGCTAAAGCAGCAGAATGCCAAGGAGATTGTGCTGCTGTAGCTGGTGGTAGAGTTAGCACACACAAAATATACCCAAGCAAAGCATCAGAGTCTGTGCTGAGACCTGGAAGGCCCAGGAGTATCTTCAAGAACAAAAGGAATTGGATAATTAATAGGATTTGCCATCAGAAAATGCCATTTTGATTGTGGAATGCACGTTTGCACATTTCACAAGAATGATGAGCAAAGTTCCTAGTGACTGATGTGAAAACTGTGTGCACTTTTTTGTTAGGAGGTGAGCAAAGGAAGACGTATAGGTAAAGTACAACTACTGATAACCTCTCCTGCTGAAGATCAACACAGCTCAGTGTCAGACTGCTTTGCTCTGCTGCAGTTTCCACTGCCTGACCTTATGAAAGGCCAGAGATAGATGCACTAAACAGCAGAAGAAACCGCAGCATTGCAGAGTAGTTTGTGTGGTGGCTGTGCTTGTGCAGAGCACTCTGTACTGTGCAGACAAGGACTGTGGAATGATTTCACCACACGAAGCTTGTGATGGGACAAGGCCCCATATGGTTGAGAGCTCAGTGTGCTTTGGAGTGGCCCCCATGAGTTCAAATGCTAATCTCACCATTCTGAGTCTTCCTCCCTTCCTGCAACCAAAACTGGAGACTCCTGCAAAGCCATTGGATTGGGATCAGGTCCCTCTATAAAGCTTATCCTACTGCATTCTTCAAAGCCACAGCTTGCCCCCACATAGCCCTGACTCTGGGACTCCTGCAGCTGCAGCTCCTGGCACTTAAATTGCCCTTGCTGTCCCCTATCTCAAGCTTCCCCCCTTACTACCCAGTTCTGCTCCCATCCTTTCCTCCTCAACTCTCAGCTGGAGCAATCCCACCTTGGAGTGAGCGACTACTGTTCCTCCACCCCTCTGCCCCCAAGCCTGATTTTCTTTCCTCTGTGTCCCCCATCTCCAAGCAAATAATCTTACCAACATTCTGCAAAATGCAACATGGGACCCCAGCAAGTCTGTGCAGTGCCAGCTGCATACTTCATTTCCAGGGCCGCCCGAGGGGTGGGGGGCAAGTGGGGCAATTTGCCCCAGGCCCCACAGGGGACCCCACGAGAATATAGTATTCTATAGTATTGCAACTTTTTTTTATGGAAGGGGACCTTGAAATTGCTTTGCCCCAGGCCCCCTGAATCCTCTGGGCAGCCCTGTTCATTTCTTATCCATGCTGGGGAATCTTCCAGGTCAGTGGCGCTCCTTTTAAAATGCATCCCCGTCTCTCGGTAGCCAAGGCCTCACACATTTTAAAAATAGCACCCAGCTTGGCAGATAGAGACAGACCTACAGTGGACTTGGACAGACAGCAGTATAGGCAAGGATCAGGCCTTTTGGGGAGTGGGAGAGGGGGGGTAATGGGACAAGGGGTGGGAGCATTTATCCAAAGGATACACACCTCTCAAATAGGCTTAGTTGTCTATGAACTAACTCTCTTTTTTCACCCCTCTCTCTGAACCCACATGCCCGCCCCTTGCTTTTCGCCTCTGTAGATTTGAGCGTGAGATAAACATGCCCTAATTATTTTCATCTTGCACAGCTGAGCCCTGCGGCCCTTCATTTCCTTACCTGAATGCTCTCGCTCCAAGAGTGTTCTATATGATGAAGCCCTGTGACTATATTTGCTGTGCAGCAGAACTCCGGTGTCACAGGCATCTCAAAATTCTCTCGTTTTCTTGCCTGAGATTCTAATAAGGGACATGAATTACTCAGAATTCTTACAGTCAGGGGCCTGAATGATGTGGGGAGGTTGGTAATGGGATATAGAACCTTTTGCCTCTAGACCACTGGTCTGGATCCATCTTGGGCTGGCAGAGATAACAGGCTGCCTGCAGTTTTTTTGCCCCGTGTGAACTGAGATGAAGGGCTCAATCTTCTTACAAGTGTCTATCACAAAAAGTGCCACTTCAGCTGGCACCTTGACACTTATCTCCTTGATCATTCCTATGAGAGGTCACCTCCTGCTAAGGTTTGAGGCAAATTAGTAAGGAACAGGGAATGTAAGGAAAGCTTCTCCTCCCATTATTCTTGCTGTACCAGTTCAATGCATTTTTATTAGACGTATTATGGTAAGACCCAAAGTTTCCAATCAGGATCAGGGCACCCCTGTGTTGCACACAGGTCACTCCCTCAGTACTGCACTGTGCATTGAAAAGGTCACCTTTGCTTTCAGACACATTATGACAAATGCAGCAGGTGGATCTGAACCGACATTGAGGGTCAGAAGACATCTCCACCTTGCTTTCAGTTGCCAAAAAGCACACTCCGCCATTATCATAGTTGAATCTCTGGATTCAAGTTTGTGCAATCAGGAAAAGGTTTAATTTGCCATGGCAAGAGCAGGTATGCAGGGTTATCTAGAGTCATGGTGAGGATGGAAACACCATTAATGCCAGTGTTGGATGGAAATAGAGTAACCCTTTTCCTGCTTCTGAAAAGTCCAGAGGCTTTGACATTTCTGGCATAACATACTTTCCCCATTAACTCATGTAAAAGTCCATGAATCTGCCACAATTAACCCCTAACACCTGCACCACTATTAAGTGAAAACCCTTTGTGTTAATATACTTCTGGGATCACTTGGAGTGGGGGTTCACAGGATAGCCAAGTGCATTCCATCAAAACCCCAACTGTTTAAATCCTGAATCATTCTTGGCTCATTGGCCATTTTGCTCAGACGCCCCGCAACACGCTACGGGTTAATCTCTGACACCTTCTCCAAAGGATCACACTTCATGGACTTCCCCAACCACAAACTGGTGCCCAATTGACCAATAAATTATCCGTAGTAGCCAACACCCACGGGGCAATCGATACTTTCTATTCCATGACAAGACCGCCTCTCCTCCTGGTGGCATGGCCCTGCAACATCCAGCCAGTTCATCACAGAGATGCAGAAAAGATTCCTTATTTTATCTTGAAGTTCTGCAGCCACTGAAGCTCATCCCAGCTGTTGAGAACAGTTAGATCTCATGGTCATGGTCTGGACCTCTTTGGGTGAATATCATCCTCAATTATCACTCCGAGCCAGATACTTGGGTAGTGGAGAGTATACCACTGCTGCCTCATGGACTCTAAACACTTCATCTCAGTCTCTGGCTCTCTGAATATTCCACCAGAACCTTCTCTGCTGCTTTGCTACCTCATGTGACACACAATTGCTTTTGCAAAGCTCTAGAAGAAAAATCTTGGTTGCCAAGTCAGGAATAAATGCAGAGCACTCTTTCTGGCCTCTATTTAGAGATAAAAAATGGCACCAGGATCAGGGCACTGATGATTTCCCCAGAAATCACTGGACGTTTTACCCTCCCCCCCCCCCTCACAATTCCCTGGGTTCCCAGAGGCCTTTTCAAATCTCCCAGGAGCTAATGGTTCAGGAAGCTGTGCCAGGACCATGGGGCAGGTATCCAGAGGACAAATGCAACAGAATAGCACAGCACGTTGGGTGGATGTGGGGCAAAACTGCAAGTAATCAACAGCCAAAAAAGCATGGCTAGTGCTAATACTTTGCGCTGATGATGCTTACACCAGTGATATCCCACCTGTCCAGTGACCAGCAGAGCAGTTCTCTGGCACAGACTAGTCCTCTGAAGTTGGAATATCACTGCTGCTTTAACCACTCTCTAATGATTGTGCTAATTCAGAGCCTGATTCTGAGAAGTGCTGGACACACCTACAACTTCCACTGAAGTGAAATGGGGAGAGAGAAATGCTCAGCACCTCTTAGGATCATGCCCCCAGTGGGAAATATTGTACCTCTCCTAGTAACTGAGAGCAGAATTTGGCTTGTCATTTGCAATTAAGTTTCCTGAGCTAATGATGCTGCTTCGCAAACCCAGGTCAGTCTAATTAAGAAATGTTATACCTTGTAGTCCCAGCGTATCGTGTGGCAAACAGCTGTGCATGCTTTCAGCTTTGACAGCAGAAACAGTGTGATTATTTATTTATCCAGTGAATGTGTAACTGCTGGAGAGAACTAAACTCCTGTGCTGAAAAAAACAGCTGAAAACACAGAAAAAGAAATGCCATTCAGATGGGACCTGTAATTATAGGAGAGGACACTGACCATGTAAAATGCAATTTTGTAATGAATACTTATGTGTTAGCTTTTCTTTGAGATTAAAAGTACACAATCAAATCAAGAGCAAAGTGAAGCTTGCCCTCAAGGAAAGACAGTTTGTAAGACAAATGCAATTATACCACCATTTGCAATGCTATACGGAGTGGCTGAGAAGACCTCATGGAAAGAACTTGGGCAAAAAATTCTATTTGGAAACAAATCTGCTTATGCTTTGTAGGTCTCCGTTCCTGTGTCCTTTACTACTAGGCACATATTAACATAAACAGGATCTTGGTAGCTTAAAATGTTCCATCTGATCCTGATGCATGTTCCCCATCGCAAGTCAGACAAAGTGATAACACTTTTCCCTGTATTTTTTTAATTTATTTTTAACAGAAAAATAAATAAATAGAAAGGTGAACAGTATAAAATTCATTTGAATCTGAGGCCTGCAAGGGTAGAATTTTAATTAACTGCCTTTGAGAATACCTTCCTAAAATGCTTGGAATACAAATCCAGTATTGTCTTATTGCTTCCTTGGGCTCCCCCATCTGTCTGTCTCCACCTATTGTCTCATCCTATGCTCAAATCTGTAAGCTCTTTGGAGCAGGGACTGCCTTTTTGTTCTGTGTTTGCACAGTACCTAGCAGTGATGCCTTGGTCTGTATCTAGGGCTGCTGGGCACTACTGCAATACAAATAATAATAAATTCCCCTGGTGGCATTGCTCTCCAACTTGAAACCTGTCAATGTGGGTCACAGGTCATTGAAATGTACGACCAGTGGTCAAAACGTGGCGCACCTGTGTTTTGGCGCATGTCACCCTGTAACAGGATTGTTCTTTACTGGCTTCCTTCTCCCTGTCAGGACACTCCCTGTTCTGAGCGAGAAGGCAGCATATATACATACTTCCTCCTTCAGAGACCTCCCCACAACTGGTGGGCCAAGAGGCGAGCTGTACACTACAGGGCTCCTGATCCCAGGACAGTATACTGGTTTTCCCATCCAACTACTACTAATTCCTTGGGAACACCTCATCTTCCGGCTACAATGCCGTTTCCAAGCCTTTCTATATTCCAATGTGCTTGGAATGGGGTCTTCTGGCCCCCTTCAACCTTAAAGAGCCAATACACCCCATCACAATAAGCAACAGATTATAGTATTTTAATCTATAAAAGCTGTATTTAAGAAGGCCTTCTCACTTTTCACAGCTAATTAAACCAGTTTTACAACCTGTTTGAGATTCAGAGGAATTAAGGCCACCTGTAAGGGCTGCTTGGGCACTGGCGGTGGGGAAATCATCGCAGTAGGTTATTAAAGTTCTTATTAGCTTGTAAGTTGTGAGGGTTGTGAGTTCAATCCTTAAGGGGGCCACTTAGGGATCTGGGGCAAAATCAGTACTTGGTCCTGCTAGTGAAGGCAGGGGGCTGGACTCGATGACCTTTCAGGGTCCCTTCCAGTTCTATGAGACAGGTATATCTCCATATATATTATTATTATTATAAGTGTTGGTAGAAGAGCAGATTTGGGCACCCAGAATGGTCTTTCATTTCTTAGAGTCTAGATTATCCACTACAGTAGTTAATGAAGAGGGAAACTACTCAGTTTGTGTGACACCTTTGTGTGAACCAATGCCAGAAACCCAGCACTCAGGAAGAACCCTGCAATAAGCATCCACTATGCATAGCCAAAGCCTTCTGCAACCATCTGTCTGTGCAGCACTCTGCTCACAATCAACCCTGCAAAAAAACAAACTGACATGCACAAGCAGCCCTACACTAACAAACCCATGGATGCAACCCCGCATTTATAGACAAACCTACAACAACAAAGCACTAACCTTCAGAAGCAACTCACCACCCACAATCTTTACTGTGCAGCACAGAACTCATGAGCCATTCAACAATAACAAACTAGGGTGCACAACCCACAGCTCACAAACACTACAATAACAAACTTGAGGACATATACAAAGGAGAGGGACATTCAGATGGAACTTCAGATGAAGGACAGATTCCTGATTCAAGAAAAAACAATGAAGGGAGGAAAAGAAAAAAAATGTAAAAAAAGGACTTTAGAAGAGATCAAATATCTCAAGTGTCCATTTAAGCTTTGAGTTGCCTGGCTTTGTCTCGCTACCTTAGCACAATGGAAACGTAGGGTAGTTTACTGCATTTGGAGCGACAGACAGATGCTCAGAGCCGGTTTGCTTCTCATCTGCAATTCCAAACACCTTGTCAAGAACAAATGTTTCAAAAGACATCTATCCACCCATTAATGTATCTATTTGTGAATCAGTTTTTTTAAAGAGAAAAAGAAAAACTAACTGTATTTGCCACAAAGATGTTCACACATAGAGATTCTGGTGGGATCATGGGGATAAACCTAGTTTCAGCCCCTTTTTCAGGCTGAAAACAGCTTGCCATTTGAATTGAAAAGGTACAGTTGGATAAGTATTTCCAGCAAGGGGAGAATCAAACAGCCGCATTTTTAACCGATCATGTGCTTGCTTCTGTTTCGTAAGATTTATTCCCTCATTAATCACTGCCCTCCCTTCATTCATGTTAAATATAAAAATGATTAGGAAAGATTCCCCATCATGGTTAAAAAAATAATTAGCTGCTACATCATGTTGCACACATTCAGACAGAAAGGAGTGATTAAATTAGGAATATTAAAACCCCATTAATCTGTGCTCAACTTAAGCTCTGCTTGTTCATCTCACTGTGGCACTTATTATTTCTGACACAGAGATATTTGAATTACTAGCTGAAACAAGGTCACTATCAGAAAGATGTCAGGTCAGCAATTAGTCAAAGGTGGGAGAAGCTACCAGAACTGAGCTGTGCTTGACAAGCCACAAACGTGTCAAGAAGTCTTCACTTCCCAGTGTCATTGGAATGAGTGGGTCACTCCCAGGAACCTAAATTCATGTATATGCAATGCAATCCTGCTATTAAAGGGTTGCGTTTGACACAGGCTGACAAATCCCAT